AGGCTTCGGCATCGCCGTAACCGCAGCGGTTGGCTTCATCTTGACCTCGGTTTCTCCTCTGCAGGTGCACAAGGCCAACCCGATACGCCGATACCGCAGCGTGGAGGTGAAGCCCAGCGATCAGCCGCTGACTATGCCCAAGTCTCCCAACTTCTCGGATCGGTTCCGGTGCTGAGCTGTGTGGGTCTGGTAGTCGGGAGGGAGATCCCGTCCCTCTCGGGAGGCAGGGAGGGAACAGTTGTTTTGACGTGACTGCTCGGTCTCTGCTCCTTCGCTGGGTTCCCTTATCGCTGTGTTGAGTAGTTGAACTCCACCCGAGGCAGGAGGCTGGGGTGCGGCGCGCAGGCGGGGCCACACGGTCTCCGTGGCCTCGCTTCCCGTCCAGACACCTTGCTCTGTCGAGACTAAACCAGGTTTTGATATTGTGTACAAATATAGCGTACCCAAACTGAATAAAAATTCCTAAGCTGACGGCTGGCTCTCGCTCGTGGGCTGAATGAATCCCTCTTCTGCAGAAGAGCTTTTGGCAAAGGGCGCTCGGTGAACGTCTGAGGCCGGGCCCGTCTGGAAGGGCTGCCTTGTCCTTGGACGTCTGGGTGTTGGTTTCAAGTGTTTGGTTCTTGGGCTTTTTGGTCTGTGTGAGGTTTGAGTAGTTGTGTTAAGTAACGTGGCTTCTGCAACCCAGCACGCTGCAGGTCTGACCCTGCCTGTCGCTGTCTGGGTGAGGGCTGAGGCTCTTGCCCGCACTTTTTACAGCAGTTCCCTGCGTACATCGGAGCGTTCAACCTTCTGCTGCTGCCTTAGAGCTGGAGCTGTTCTGTTTGGGGAACCACTTCACCAGCAGGTGACTCGCTGTGAGCTGCCTCTGGCCCTGCCAGCGCAGGTCTCTTGGCTAAAGACGCATCATCTCCTGGCCGGTCTGGGCATGGACCGAGTGCTCCAACGTGCTGGGGGAGAAAACTTCCAGCGTTGTGAAGAGGTGATCAAATTTAGACCAAAATTTACGAAGAATGACTTCTTACCTTAGCTTGGTGATGTGGTGTTTTCCCCCTTAGCGTTGTCATGCAACTTCTTACCTCGTAAGACCGGGTTTTGGGCCTTTCCTTGGGCTTGTCTGAAGCAAGATTCCCCCAAAAAGGCTGGGGGAGGGCGAGAAGGGGTCAGGGCTACAGCCGCATCCAAGCGGTGCTCTCGGCTGGCGGGG